GCCTTCAGCTACTGCACAACTACCCACTATTCCTAGAAAACCTGAATGGAACATTGAAGTAGGCCCCCCGACCCTACTTGAAGTTCAAAAGGCTATAGGTAATCTGAAACGAGGAAGAGCAGCTGGTCCAGATGGATTGGCTCTAGAGGTCTTTAAATATGGTGGTCCGATTTTAGCGATTAGGTTGACTAATATTCTGGCTAAAATCTGGGAGACGGATGTAATCCCATCCGACTGGTCACAATCACTGATTTTCCCAATATATAAGAAGGGGCCAAAATCATCCTGTGATAACCATAGAGGGATTAGTCTGACTAACATAGCAAGCACGAGAAAATCAGGCTGGCTTCAGACCTCGTCGTGGCTGTATCGACCACATATTCACCATTCGTCAGGTTTTAGAGCACAGACACGCTAATCGGCGTCCGACAATGATAGTTTTTCTTGACTTGAAAGCAGCATTTGACTCTGTAGACCGAGAGGTTCTGTGGCAGTGTCTGTCATTGAAAGGTGTACCTGAGAAGTACGTAAACCTTGTGAAGGCTCTTTACTCGAACACTACCAGTCGAGTGAGAGCTTATGGCGAACTGTCATCTGATTTTACAACCTCGAGTGTCCGACAAGGCTGTCCACTATCCCCATTTTTGTTTAACTTCATTATAGACCTGTTGCTGGAAATAACACTCTCGTCGACTGAATTTACAGGAATTGATCTCCTACCAGAGGGACCACTAAGCGACTTAGAATACGCAGATGACATAGTCCTGTTTGGTGAAGACGCTGGCAAAATGCAGTGTCTTCTGTTGGAACTCAGTAATAATGCCAGGATGTTTGGGATGCGATTCTCCCCATCCAAATGTAAATTGTTGCTCCAGGACTGGCCTGCGTCAACACCCGAACTAAGGATAGGGAGTGAAGTAGTCGAACGCGTCGACAACTCCACTTATCTTGGAAGTCTGATCAGCCCTAATGGGTTGGTGTCTGACGAAATCTCAGCACGGATTCGAAAAGCTCGTTTGGCTTTTGCCAACTTACGTCACCTATGGCGAAGACGAGATATCCGTCTATCAATTAAAGGACGAGATACTGCGCATCAGTTCGCTCTGTTCTACTTTACGGTTGTGAAACATGGCCATTAAGAGTAGAAGACACTCGTAGGTTACTAGTATTTGACCACAGATGCCTTAGAAATATTGCTCGCATCTGCTGGGATCACCGGGTAAGTAATAGTGAGGTTAGACGCAGGGTATTAGGGAACGATGGTAAATCAATTGATGAGGTGATGAATCTTCATCGACTGAGATGGTTGGGCCATGTGTTACGTATGCCTGAACACCGATTACCACGACACGCTATGATGACTAGTATTGGGGATTGTTAGAAGAGAGTTAGGGGCGGCCAAACCAAAACATGGCATCAGTGTTTGAAGTCACTAACTTCTAGTCTGAGCCATGTTGGCAGATGCAGACTACCTGGTTGGGGTCCGCGTGACTATCGTAACCAGTGGTTGGAGACTCTAGGTGACATGGCTCAGAATCGATCACAATGGCGTAGATGTATACACTCTTTATCTTCCTTTAAACCTTGAGACTAAAATTGCTTCTTATCTCTCTTCCTTCCTGTACTATATCCTTATATACAACCTTTCTTGATATACTACCACCACTAAATTAATTACTTCTATGAATCCGGTGTTCATCTTGTTGTGCTAACGAGGTATGGCAACTTGGACCGATGCATATATGTGCCTGGTCCTACGTTGTAGCTGACTGACTTGGGGAAGCGCGTACGTCGAGGTTGTTCCAAATGTCAGAAGTTCTATAGCTTTGCCCTCAAGGCAAGATTCTAAAAAAAAGAGCAAGCCATTTGGATTTGACCGATAAACAATGCTAAACATTTAGTAGTGCAACAGACGGAGGTATGATAAATTATTAGATTAAAGTCATAGCTCTTGTCGCTAGAATAAACTGTGATCAGGAGCTCCAGATGAGAGAATGCAGTAATAAAAAACAATGAGATGTGATATTTATTGAGGTGGAGTAGGTTCAAATGAAGGTAAGGAAATCATGTTGGAATAAGGAAGGCTGTTTATTAGAACAGAGAGTGCATATAGAGAGCAAAGTGCTAATAAAACTAACAATTATATCTTCTTTTTTTCACCCGATGCCTGCCACACAGTTTTGATGTATAATTTCGAGTCAGCATGTTATAGGTTGTCTTAGTAGAATAGCTAATCCAGTATAAATTTAGAAACATAAGTCTGAATGATAAGCGTAGGAGAACAACCTCAATATCACAAATCGATTGTTTTGTTTTCAACCATAAAGAGCCTGATGCAAACTAAATGTTTCGCTCCACAGACATGGGTGGACTAAAGTCATCGTCCTCACCATCAATGCTTGCTGGTCAGAAACACACCCCTCCTTTTGCAATGTTAGGCTCATTTAAGCTTATTTCTGGATAGATATCTTACCTCCCACAATGCTCTGTGTTTCACATCCTGTTGTAAAACACTTTCTATAAGTATCATTTTACAAGCCAATCAGACAGTTGCAAAATATGGACTGTGGGTAAGGCATCCATGCAATGTTTGGATTGACTATTGTATGAAGTATAGGTTGTCCATCAGCGTACAGGCGCTAGAAAGGGTATAACGTAAGATAGTTGTTTACTAAAGGAGGTGGAAAAGTGTAGAAATATATTAGTTACAGAGTGGTGAAATAATATGAATGGCAAGGCTACACAGTGTACAGGAGAGCAAAAGGCTGATAAAGAAAGGACAAGAAGGAACTCACTAAACTCATGATGTTATTTCGTCCTATCTTAACCGGTAGATGGGTAACAGATTCCATAGATGCAAGACCACTGATAGTATGCAGTCGATTGTGCGTTTCTTCTAACTTTTTAGAGTATTTGTGAGCGTCTTTTAGCGACCGAGTATTGATAGGCCCAATGAGTTAGGGAAGCATCGAATACAATCACAAAGTAGGGAAAAAAGGTAATTTAGTCTATGTATTTGGAGAGCCTATAATGTACGTGTGGGACGCGGATGTGTTCGTGTGTGCTAGATCTGTGCAAATGAGGACTTGATCGATAAGTCTTAAAAACGTATGTAATTTATCTGCCATGCGTATTTCAGAAGGAAGACTGTTCCATATTAATACATACTTGGTGAGGAAGTTTTCCGGAGGTTTCGGTCTGTATTTCTCAATTTCAAACCGTGGATATTTTGTCTCGAAGGTCGTATTAATGTGAGTCTTGGACAAGAACTATATTACATGTGGAATAAGAAAAGCTTTTGAGGAGTTTGAAGTAAAGAATCAAATGAGACCTAAGCCTTCTTTTCCAAAGGGGTTCTAAACCTAAGATATGGCATCGGAAACTGTAGTCAGTGGGTTAGTCGTTAGCTCCCAAATGCCCTGGTACGGCCGAGAGTGGGGAGAGTCCACTCTCCCTCTCGAAATGCTCTCACATGACCACGCGAATATATAGCTTCTGCCAGGGAGGTCCTGCTCACTGCCTTCTCGTGGCCTTACTGTTGTTTACGAAATTGAGAGGACGAAAAGCGAATGTCCGGCGCTTTAACCGGGTTGGTGGACAAGGCGAGTCCACCCAGGGGAGTTGGAAAACCCTGATTCCAAACCAGATGGTGCAAATGGGCTGGCTCCAGTATCCTGAGGGAACAAATCAATCGTTGATCACCGGCTACCATGGGACTGCATCTCCTTACGATGCTCCACTGCCTTGTGGATCAGATCTTTCGGTCAAAGGCTCCGGGTGTGGGCCCCTAAGAAAACCACCTGCTTCAGATTGTGCACCTGGGCAGTATCACAGCCCTCACACAAATCGAATGAGATTTGTGAGGCGCATATTTATCTGGTGCTTCCTTGTACCAATATTTATGTGTTTAAATAAAATAAGTCGTTCTTAAGTAGTTTGCGAGTGAAGTCTCGTTGTATTGCTTCCACCTTAAGTATATCGGATAGGCGTAAGTTGGAAAATAAGGACGAGCAGTATTCGACGATAGGTCTTACGCAGACTTTATAAAGAATTTTAATTTCGTTTTTAAAGAAATTACGAAGAGTGAAGCCAAGCAATCTCCGCATTTGAGATATGTTCTGAGAAGTTAAGACTGAGTTATGTACCCCTAGGTCAGATACTGATGTCAGTCTGGGCAGTGGGTTATTGTTGAGTGTCTCCAATAAATAACAAAACGCATTTCCCTGTGTTGAGCTCTAACCTCCAGCGTTTGCACCAGTTGCATACCTTGATGAGTTCATGTTGGATTGTTTGCATAGTACTACGTACATCGACAATGTCAGTTTTATAGATGACTTTTAAGCCTCACAGCTAAGTGAAGCGATCGATGCGTTCAACTACACTTCCTGTCATTGGTTCAGGCGATGACGCAAGCCAATCCTGAAGTAACACCTCACATATGTAGGGAGATAACTACATCCGATGGTTGGAACAGATAGTCCTTTCTATCCACTGAACTCGCCAGATTGTTGCTCTACTTAGTTTTCGTTTTCTACTTGGGCGCGAAAACCCCATTCGGTGAGACTATAATCATGGATGACCTTGAGAATGTTCACCTACTCACTAGGGTTAAATGAGGGTTATAAACCAGTGTGGGGAATTAAGATTATGATTTACAATTGATGCTTAGGGTTAAGGACTAGACTTAGGGTTTTCATCACGAACTGACCACCAGCTGAAATTCCAAAACGCTATCGATCTAAGTGGATGGATGGATTTCTCTCCAAAATCAAAGACCTGTTATTCTAAATTTGACTCGTCCTTCCATAAATTAAAGTCTTGCCATCCATTTTACGATTGATCTGTAAGTGTTTAGCTTTTTAAAGCTTATTGGGCCTTCTATAAAACTCGATTTTTTAATATCGGAGTGAAAATGGCTAATTGGTCTCATCTCCTAGATTGAGTGGACTATGATTTTCAATGAGGAACAACTGTGTTTTAAACATTCAAAACAACTCACAAACTCTTCAAAGTAAAATGTACTTTATCAATATAAACATAAATAAACAAAATAATAGCTATTGAAGAAAGAAGACAATACTTAACAGATGTAACTGTAAGATTTTGGACAAGCAGATTTCTTCATGCCTTTGATAAAAAGAGGGACGTTAATGGGAGCAGAATAAATACAGATTTCATTTCGTGGATTTCACATACTAAAGGATTACAAAGTATCATTATACTTAAAAATTCAAACGAAAATAGCAGATATCACACTTGTGAATATTACAATAAATGTGGTACAATTAACCATAGTTAGCACCACATTAAATACATTAAGTTACTCGTATAACTTGTGATTTACTTACTAATGCCGGAAAGACGGAGACACATGAATCATTTATTTTTATCTTCCGGCAAACATAATCTACAGTTTACATCTAATAGAAGACATTTCAATTTATTTCCGAAATCATCACAATATTTATTGAATTGCATTATATCACGAGGGTGTTTCGTCCAGAATTTGTGGAAAGAATAAAATGTATAGCCTGTATAAAAAATGATAGAAAGAAAACATGTACATCAGAATGAGCTGGTTTATAATTAAACATGAATGGATTCGACTTCTTATAATCTTCGTGGATGTAGCGCAATAGTCAGTCAGTATGTCAGAGCGACCAGCGGAAGCATTTCTATCAAGTTATACCAAAAACGAAATCTTAGGACAAATACAGAAGGCTCGACTAGCTTACGCGAACTTGCGTCATTTATGGCGTAGGCGAGATATTCGTCTACCAACCAAAGAACGGGTTTACTGTGCAACAGTTCCTTCCATCCTACTTTATGGCTGTGAAACATGGCCGGTAAGAGTGGAGGATATTCGTAGACTACTAGTATTCGATCATAGGTGTCTTCGAAGCATTGCTTGTATATTCCAGGACCACCGAATAAGTAACGCAGTTGTTAGGAAACGGGTACTGGGTAAGGATGGGAAATCGACTGATGAAGTAGGTAGACTTCATCAGTTAAGATGGCTGAGATATGTGTTACGTATGCACAACCACCGACTGCCCCGACGTGCAATGTTTTATGGTGTAAGAGTAGGTTGGAAGAAAGGTATGGGTGGCCAGACCAAAACGTGGCACAAATCCATTAATTCATTGACAATTGGACTGAGCCATGCTGGTAGGTGTAGACTACCTGGTTAGGATCCGCGAGATGATAGCAATCGATGGTTAGAGACCTTGAAAGACATGGATCAAAGTCACTTGCAATGGCGAAGGTGCATCCATTCTTTGTGTTCTACCAAATTCTAATCTTCTGAATTCCTCATGTCTTTATCTTTTTCTCTTTCCAAATTTATTTCACTGTACTATACTACTTCAATAATTTCTTCAAACTCTAATCTTTTGGATTTCTGATTATACTCCTACTACTTCTACCACTATGGGATTTGAATCGACAACTGCATCTCTGTGCTAATGTAGTATGGCGACTCGAACTGATGTACGTACGCACGAAGTTCTGCGTTGTGACTGAGTGACTAATACCAAAAACATTAGATACCTATCACTTACAGTAAGACGTTTTTAAATAGAAACAAATCAGTTGATGGATAGGCAAATTCTAGAAAATATACGGAACTATTTATCCAAATCATAGGATTAATCTATATAGTTACTTTGTTAGCTTTAACTGTCAAAGCCTGTTATAGACGGATCATGATATAAGATGAAATTCTTGTTGTTTGAAACGATTCTGTTACCACTGTACAATACTTAATATAAGAAATATAACGATGTGATATCTTGAATATACTTATGTCATCAGATTTGTTGCGAAACATTCTCATCCGTCCAAATTTTAACAAACAGTGGATGAACATAGACATCTACTTGAGCAAACAACAACCAAGCTTTATGGTACATAAGAAACCTATCAACACACACATGAGTTGTGCAATAATGTCTTACAGAATGAAAAAAACATTGTGATAATGATAGAGATACACTGGAAGTTTTAACAAAAACTTGATTTGAACATTTATATTCACAATAAAAAAATGGTTAGGATGAATGAAATACCAAATTATTTCTAATTATTTAACATTGGGGGTAAGCTCAAACGGGCCGATCTAAACTTTTGAAAGGAAAAATAATGAAATGATGTAGCTTTAAAGTAAGGTGCATATAAGAAAAAAACAACCACAGATTAGTGTATGTTGTTTTTATTTATTTATTTAAACACACAAATATTGGTACAAAAAAGCACCAGATAAATATACGCCGCACAAATTTCATTTGATTTGTGTGAGGGCTGTGATACTACCCAGGTGCCCAGGCTGAAGCAGGTGGTTTCCTTAGGGGCCCATACCCGGAGCCTTTGACCTGAAGGTCTGATCCACAAGGCAGTGGAGCATCGTGAGGAGATGCAGTCCCATGGTAGCCAGTGACCAACAACAGGTTCATTCGCCATTTGTTCCATCAGGATACTGGAGCCAGCCCATGTGCACCATTGGTTTGGAATCAGGGTTTTCCATCTCCCCTAGGTAGATCCTCCGTGTCCACCAACCCGGTTAAAGCGCCGGACATTCGCTTTTCGTCCTCTCAATTTCGTAAACAACACCACCGCCACGAGAAGGCAGTGAGCAGGACTTCCCTGGCAGAAGCTATATATTCGCGTGGTCATGTGAGAGCATTTCGAGAGGGAGAGCCGACTCTCCCCACTCTCGGCCGTACCAGGGCATTTGGGGGTACCTAATCTATTAGTCTATTAAACCTCATTTTAAAAGGACCGACGCACTACCATTTTCATATCAGCTGATCAATATAAGGTGTGGTGTTATGTGCAGTGTTGTGCCCTTTAAAATACCTTTAAATGATTACTAAGGAGAGGAGCATTATCACTTAGTTTTGTGAAGTATTTATTTTCCTTACCTGTTTTGACTCCGAACAAAATACCTTGATATCCCATTAACTAAGACTGCCAAGAGTTGAACAACAAACTAATAATGTCAGCCTTTGAAAAGTGGAGTTAATGGACACAACTGTACGAATCTATAAGTGATTACAAAATCGCAAAATAGGAAGAACTTGGGTAGATATAGGTTTTATTGCTCAGAATTTCTCGGTGTCACCCGGTCTTAGACAGAGAGAAATTATCTAATGCTTCTATTGAATAAATAAAAAAACGACATCAGGTTATATTCAGTCGACCAACAGAATGAACGGCATCGAAGATGTAAATTATATATATATATATATATATATATATGCTTCTTGCTCCATGAGGGGTAACAGGCGTAAGTTTTGAAGTGGAACGTTATATGTCAGAATATATTATTTTTAACCTGTACTAAAGACCCAAGCCCCATCTGTGCTATTTTGTCTTGAGTGGTCAAGCCATATCCTTACTCTCCGAAAAATTTCGGCTTAACGCCGAGTAAATAAACACATACTTTATTAATAGGTCGTAGTAATTTATGTTACATTAAGTATATGGTTGCATTTGTACTTAGATATTTTACGAGTGATGACCACTCTTCTCGCAAATGTAAAACGTGAAAGTTTAGCCAAATTGCACTAAGCGTAAACTGGACGTAGAGAATCGCACTGTACATTTACTACGACATAAAACTAACTCCGTGTAGGGAAATTACGAAAACTAAAACGGTAGAACTTACAGTAAAATTCGTTGAAGTCTTGGATGCTGGCTGATGAGGACATATTATAGAACAGACATTTTAGATGGCCTTTCAGCATGAAGTTGTATGACAACTTCGTCAAGTGGATACCAGTTACAGCAAATGGATACCTGATTGGTTGGAAAAGAGTTAGTGTAATCAAATAACTTCTTAGTATTTACCATTTGTTAGGATCATGTGATGCCGATAACATACTTCGCGCTAATTTCGTATGTGATTCTGCGAAGTACCTATATAAGCATAAATTAAAAACAAAATGGTACATAAAAAGTACAGCACAATTAACAGTAAGGATTCAGGTAGTGATTTAAGCTTTATGGTATGTATTTTTACTTGAAACACGACACACAAGAAGCCAATGCTGTAGCAAGTTTCATAGGATATATATTCATGATGAGGAATATAAGTGAAAGGAACAAGAACATAACACAAACCTTATAACCATACTATAGGTCCTAAATGGTTTATGGAAAAAATTGGGGAATTCTGCCAACTATATCCTCTATATTTATTTGAACACGTAAACATTGGTACAATGAGGCACCAAATATGTATGCGCCACATAAACCACTTGATTTTTGGAGGGCTGGGATACTGCCCGGAAGCCCGGACAGGAGCAGTTGATTTTCTTACGGGGTCACTACCCGAGCATTTTACCTAAAAGTCTAATCCACAAGGCAGTGGGGCAACGTTGGGAGGTGCAGTCCCATGGTAACCGGTGACGCTTTTGTTTCCCCAGGATGTTGGAGCCTATATGCACCATCGGTTTGGAATTAGGGTATTTCAACTGACCCCCCCCCAGTAAAAGTGCTGGACATTTGCTTCTCGTCCTCTCAATTTCGTAAACAACACCCCTACTTCGAGAGAGCGGTGAATAGGACTTCCCTGACAGTAGTATGTTCAATTCGTCTACAATAAATTTATCCTACACTTTAAAAAATAGCGCACTTCACTGTGTACACTTTGTGGGGTTCTGAATGTTGGGAATGGTGTTCGGCTTAAGAAAAATATGAATACCTTTAATTTTTGCCAATATGATATATCTGACCAAAATGTATCTCAAAACGTTCTGAATAACTGCAATAATTGGACTTGAAGTCAAGGAAGCATGCAGCAAGGGTTATTATGGTGTTCAGAATTTAGGTCAATACGAAGTAATTAGAGGCATTAATGCGGTAATGCTTCAACAAACGTTTGAAGAATGCCGAAACGCGGTGTGGTGAAACAAACAACAAACTACGTTTCCGTACTGCTGAGGAGTTCCATACTAGGACGAAACGGCCGTCCAGTGCTTCCAGGTTTTCGATGGTGATCTAACATTTATCGGTTCATGGTTTCAATCAAAACTCAACAACCTCCACAACCCTAAATATAAAAACTACGAATTTTGGCCAGTTTAGAGGCTGGTTAATAGAGTGCTACAACAACAGTGTCCTTCCAAATGAAAATTCAACACGAGAAGAAAACAAGAATTGCTACAAGGACTAAACTTCAATGAAATATACTCACGAATACAAAACTGGTATGTATTTGGTTAAACCAAATGAAGAGTCGGAAAGTTTATGACAAGAATTTACAAACTATAAATTTTAGAGTGCATTTAAGGAAGATTACATTAAGTTTTAATTGACTAATACAACGCCACCGTAGTATAACACTACAAACTTCAACCCGTATACGAAAAACAATTTTACCACACTTGTACAAATTTGCTTTTACCAATTGTTTACTTCTGTCCTTTTAAACCTTGTAGTACAGGTAAAACAAAGCACAACCACTTATTATGAGGAGGAAAAAACTCATTTACCCCATAGATGGAGATTATGAATGCTAGTCCTATGTTAATTAAGAGCCTCAACCTTAATAAGAAGTAACTATAAAGATTTATTCCATTATTATCAGCGATAAACCTGCCATATATTTGAAAGTGACTTTCTAATGCTGAATGCTTATGACTAATTTGTTAAATCTAATGTAGTCTACATAAGTGTAGACAGCACATAAAAATGAGGGATTAATCATGCTGAACGAAAAGAATGAAAACCGTCATAAGTTGATCTCCTTCACATATATCAGTTTCACATGAACAAACCAGCTACTTTACCCCAAGAACCTACGAACGTCATTAGGATGAGTTTTGACAAAATATAATCATTACATTTATGATGACCATTTTTGACCAACTACTTAGTACGACTTACACAAGATTTTCAAGAGATAGTATACCCATTCCGCGGAAATCTGTCTCGGGGTTCTCTGTTTGAAATCCAAGAAGAGTCCACTTTTCTCCATTATGGGATGACAGTTCATTTTGAGAATCCAGACAGATCCATAACTACAAGACTTCAAGTTACTTGTGAGAAAATCTACCCTTGAAAGTAATTCGGAGTGGTAATGATCATCAGAATTGAACGCAGTACATCTCGAGGCATCCAATTTGTCTATTAGTTCCCAATAAGAGTTGATTTGATTGATGCAGTACAAATAATCGGTAGGAAAACTGGCATAAGTTCGTGTATATGATAATACTTTGGTTGATCATTGAGATCGATATGCTTAGCACTAATGACAAGCCGCACATGTGACTTGGCATCTATACATTTCCCCAAAAGCAATCCATTTTGAATAGATTTATTTTTTGAATTCCTCAGCGAGTTTTCTTTTATATCCAATCAACACAATACGAAAGTTAAACCAACCTATTCTGAGAGTCCTGGGTGCTCCTTTAGGATAACTGGCAATTATGCGACTTAGTTCACATCTCCCTGTTACTAATCGAGAAATATACTTTATCATAGGACGGAAAATTGAGTATATCACCTGAAACAAGTAGCAAAATATGTATATACATATGTTAACATATGTTAAGAATTTCATTTGTAGTAGTGCGATGGTGGTGATCTGTCCAGTGTTGTTTATACGTGTCTGGTCAGCAAGTAGATTGGACGAACGCTTGACTTGCAATAGTCAATGGATGCCAGCACATATGACGAGATCCAGGATAAAACAAACGACCTTGGGGAGTACGGACGATAACTCTCAAACAGCTTAAACGGAATGGCCAGTATATCTAATATCGTTATGACGAAGTCATATAAACCGACTGATTGGTTTTCTTTTTATTCTTGCTAATTCGATACGTATACAGGTTCTTATTTTTTTCCAATGGGCGGTCATAAGTTCTTGTTAGTGATTAGATTGGCATAACAAACCTATTTTAAAAATAGTTTTTGATATTATTTGCATTCATTTTGTTACTTTTTACATTCTGTACAATCACCACAAAATGACTATACATGTTATTTGAGTTTTTGTAGTGACCTAGGTGAAAGTAGCTACTTTCACGACGAGAACGCGATTGGTGTAATGGAAACAGTTATTATTATAACCGATTGTACCAGTGATTGTTTTACTGTGCTTGTTTGTTTAACTGTACCAAAAGTATTTTTCGTTCTGTTGCCCACGCATGTCTTATCAAGAAGCTTGGACAATTTGGTATAAAACCCCCTTTGATTGATTGGCTCTCTTCATATTTAGAAAACCGACACTTTAAGGTCAGGGTTAACTTCACTCTCTCTCAGGCTATGGAATGTCCTAGTGGCGTTACCCAGGGCTCAATACTAGGACCTCTTCTCTTCTTGATTTATATTAACGATCTTCCTCAACAAGTTTCATCTGACTTATTGCTTCTTGCTGATGATGTGAAACTTTGGAGAGAGATACGTAATCATAATGATATACTAGTTCTTCAGGAGGATCTGAACCGCCTTCAAAGTTGGGCAGACGACAACGGACTTACCTTCAACACTTCAAAGTGCAAGGTAGTCCATCTGAGACATGTTGCAGACTATAGTTATAAATTAGGTAACTTACCTCTAGAAGTTTCCCAAGTTGAAAAAGATTTAGGAGTGTTGGTACCCTATGACCTGAAATCGTATGCGAACTGTGACAAAAACGCCTTTCAAGGAAAACTTGCACTGGTAACATTGAAGCGCATTTTTGGCCAGTTTGAGGGTAGAACCTTCCATATAATCTTCAACAGTTTTATTCGTCCCCATTTAGAGTACGGAAACATAGTATTTCCTCCCTCCCTCCAAAAGGATAAGGACACTCTGGAACGTATACAACATCGAGCCACGAAATCAGTTCGGGGACTCAAATTCAAACCTTATGAAGAGCGCCTCAAATCAATTAACCTTTACCCGTTAGAGTACAGGCGTCTTAGAGGTGACCTTCTTATGACTTATAGTATCCTCAATACATCTGGTCATCTTCCTAAGCTTAGTCATAACACTAACCTCAGAGGTAACACCCAGAAATTGGAGACTCTACATAGCAGAACAGACTGTAGACACAACTTCTACTCCGTTAGAGTTGTCAAGTGCTGGAATTCGCTGCCGACTGAGCTAGTCCAAGCGACCTCCCAGGAGTCCTTTAAGAGGAAACTTGACTTATTCTTAAGGACTAAGGATAACATATTATTGTGATTTACCAAATTCTTTTTTTCCTCTATTATCGTTCATATACCTAGGTTCTTGCCTGGAGGTATTGGTAATCCACTGCTAGCAGACACGGAAGCCCGTTAAGCGAAAGCTTCTTCTATTCCGTCCTCAACCAATTGAACCATTTTGAACCATCTTGCTTGTACGAACAAGCTTACACTCCACTGTTTTGCCTGTAATCTTTGGCACGTCTCGATATTCTTTCGATACCACGAGATCGCCAACAAATATATCTTATCACAAGGGGGGTTTTGTGGAGATTTAGTAATTTTATAGTTAAGATCATGAGTCAATTGAGGCTAGACCACCATCGAAAACCTGGAAGCACTGGACGGCCGTTTCGTCCTATTATGGGACTCCTCAGCAGTGCGCATCCACGAACCCGCTCTCGCGAGATTCGAACCCAGGACCTACCAGTCTCGAGCCGGAGCCCTGGAGTTCTAGTGAGAAGTCGTGGCCAGTGGAGCTAATCCATGTCAGGTAGAGGCAGGTATCTACCTCAGTACATTGGAAGTTGGTTGCGCAATTTCGTGGATTGGTTGAGGTTAGACATTAACACCGTTGGATGCCAGCTCAGTGGTCTATCGGTTAAGGGCTCCGGCTCGAGACTGGTAGGTCCTGGGTTCGAATCTCGCGAGAGCGGGTTCGTGGATGCGCACTGCTGAGGAGTCCCATAATAGGACGAAACGGCCGTCCAGTGCTTCCAGGTTTTCGATGGTGGTCTAGCCTCAATTGACTCATGATCTTAACTATAAAATATATCTTATCTGGACCATTAACAGCCTTCTGGTTTTTGACCTACCTAGGGATCCAAGTCGATAACTGGCACGTAATCTCATTGTAATTGTGATCATAGTCATTCGTGACTCGACACCCATCTACATCTGGTGAGCCAAATTTTCGAACACATTTCAACCTCTGGAAAACCTTCCAAAAAACATTACGGTGAGTCTATTATTTATCTACGCACTTTTGTTGCACATATTCGTATTGATACTTCTCAACATTTACCATAAGAGATTCAAGCCTGTTTTGAATACAGTGACTTTGTGAACTTTGAGTTGAGGTCTTGAGCACGTTTTGTTCGGTATGGGAAACTATTTTGTGCTGACTGCACCTAGATCTCTTCTCATAAAGTTAAGAGTTACTTTTGCTTCAACTGGTTTCTGTACCCAAATCACGCTGCGGGGAGACCACTGAGAGCGAATTTTGATGGAGAACGTTGATTGTTAGTATGCCATGTGGTTGAATGTTGGTGATATACCATCGTGATAAACTAAAATTCAGCTCATAGTTTTTTTTCAGATAATATTACCTTCTTATAAACATTCATTACTTGGTATTGTCATTATGTATATGAATAGACGGGCTTAATATATCTGAGGGGTCATTTATGAAGATCAAGAATAAAAATGAACTTAAAATGCCTTCTTTTGCGACACCTAAATTTGAGACTTTCTAGCTTGTTAAAACTCTATATAACTTGATGTGAGACACACGGTTCACTGTGTAATTTACGATCCCAAGAAGATTAACCTCAGTATAATTCATCTTTTCAGTCTTTCCTAAATAGAGTACGAGCGCAACTGCATCGAACGCTGAAACGAGGTAGTAGAACACTACGAGCAACGGTGTTTTTTGTGACCAAAAGATTGTCCAGCTCTCTCATGCTCTGAAGTGATTTCGGACTCAAAAATACTTTTTCCTCTAATCAGTGTTGAGCTTACTAGAAGGGGACACATTTGTCAGTTTGTTGCCGCATTCTGTCATTGATACATCCATCCATTACTTGCGAAGATATTGGTAGCTTGGTGACTCACCTGTACCAGTCCGAGTCCTATATTTCCCCTACTTTGAAGATAGGAAATAGTCTCCTGAATCCAATTTTTAGAAAGTTCCTGTGAATAATGAACATCTTTACTTGTTACATACCGGTGTTCTGATAACTTACGTGCATTTTCTCGGGATTACAAAAAGACTTTGTCCCATCTCATTAACTTTTGCATGTTCGGGAACTTTAGTATTCTCATTCTCAAACGAGGAGTTAGATTACCATTCTTCGCGTCATCAACTACAAACACAAAAGGTATTCCACGCCAATATGTTTCTGGTTTAATTGGTCGGTGGAGTTGACGTGGAAGATTTCTGCCATCTATAGGTTGGCAAGTTCTGAACCTTTAAACCCTTTAGGGGCACAGATCACTTGTTGAGTCATAAATCGATAGAGGTATTTTGAGTAAGTTTATATTTTATCTGGTAGTTTAATTTGGAAATGTTTCTTGTCGCCACGACCTGTGGTGTTGCATTCGTTCCTTCGTGCCAAGTAAGAAATACGGTCAGAATCTCCATGGAAGCTTCCATTCTGTGCCAAACCATCTTTTTGCCTGTGACAATCGTGACTTAAGCCAGAACGCTCTATTTCCAGATGTGTGTTTTGCTCGAGGTATGTTGTCCAGGATGGCGTCCTTAATAATATTTCTCTCTATCTAATAGTGATCGTCCACGATAAGCCTCCACAGAGTGAACTGGTGTCTAAATATCATCTTGTGAAACTTCTTTACAGCGAAGATAATTGACAATGTGTCCTCGATCTGACTTTAGTTTTGTTCTGCTGCAGTTAACGATTTAGCCACATGTGATGTGGCTTTCTCAGGTCAATATGGCATGATGTGAAAAAAATTGATCCAGTGCCGTAGTTTGAGGCATCTGATGCTACTACAATAGGTAATGATAGATCTATGAGTGAAAAACAGACCTGGGACTAGTATTTTCCCGATTTTTTCAAAAGCAGCTTGACAGTTCTTAGACCGTTTCCATTTTACATTCTCCGCCAGACGGTTATTTAAAGGGGTACGTAGGTGGTGAAGGTCAGGAATAAAAGCTTCATAATTCCTGAATAGTCCCAAAAAAGATAATAATGTGGGGAAATCTGTCGGCCTAGGCATAGTTTACACTGCCTGGGCATTCTCTGGATCCGATCTTTTGCGTCCTCATCGATTATAAACTTGACGTAGGGTACATTTTGCATACAAAATTCACATTTCTCTGCACGGAGCCGAAGTCCATATTCGGCTATTCGCGACAGCGCCTGTTCGAGCTTCTTTTCTAAGTCTATTTTATCTACTCCCATAATCCTAATGTCATCCCGATAAGCTGCAGCACCTAGAACATCCTGTAGTATAGTATCCATATGGATGGAACCGTCTTGATTCCGAAAGGTATTTGATTACACGGGAATAAACCCTTGAGTGTGTAGATGGTGAGCAGAGTTTCACACTCATCAGTAACATGAATTTGTAAATAAGCTTTGGATAAATGCATCTTTTCAAAAAGCTTACCCCATACACCTTAGCAAAAAGATCTTCAGAAGAGTTTCTAGGGCTTCATTTAGCCCGGTCGAGCAATCAGCACATAAACGGACGCTACAATTAGTCTTCTTTACTATCACCATTGCTGCAGTCTTCTGAGAAGTTCACCGGTTCAATGACACCCAATTTATGAAGTCGTTCTGACTCTAGTTCAGTCACTGGTGTTATGACTCGTATAACAATCGTTATTGTATATGAAACGTGCAATGATACAGAAAATACGTACGAGCAGTCTTGATTGCTATTCGGTCCTTCCTAACTGCCTAGCCCAGCCAGTTGAGTCCAGAACACAAATAACAGCCTCGGAAATACGAATCATTATTCACAAGCACACTGGGTTATATATACTAACCAAACAGACCCAATTATACCAAAAAATAGAAAAATAACATTTGTACAGTAATTGGCCAATGTGGCTGTAGCTAGGGGGAAAGTAATCAATAATAATAGTTCCAAGGTCAAAACAAAGGTTGTGATAAGAGGAACACGGAAACGATTAGGTCACTTATTTAACAACTATCCAATAGGGAATGGGCATATTGTATTTGTCCATAAATAGACATCAGATTTA